GGCCAAGTCCTTCTCAGTATATCAGCTTTCAAGTTGTATTCTTAATCCTCAGCTCTTGTTCTGTGATGGTTTCCCTGGTCATGTTTTGAAGCAGGAAGGTTTGTGCTGCACGCCAAGTCATGTGTCTGGCCCTCCTCTAATGTTGGCTGATGGCGACTTCTGGTTGGGGTTTCATTGACTGGACCACTTTAGATGCTAAAATTCATTTTGTTGTGGTGTTTGGATGAGACTTTAAGGCAGCTTGATGGGTGGTTTGGGCTTTTTTTAAGCCTGTGATGTGGAGTCATAAGCAGTGTTTTCCACACATAGACCCTACTTAGGCGGGTAACAGAGGTATAATAATGACCACCAATGTACCAGAGTTATTTCAATTCTTTTTTTTTTTTTCTGTCTGAGAGAACACCATCCAAAAATGATTTGCTAGCAACTGTTATTTTGAAAGTCTAGTCGCTCCTAACCTACCTAACAGTATTTTATCACCAGCAAGCTGACAAGGTCATCGATGTCTTCACTCTGAATGCTTTTTTCTTCAACTGCATCATTTGTCACTGCAGTAGGTGGAAAAGTAAGATTCCCTGCTGCAGAGCAAAACAGTGAAGTTCATCCACAGGATGAGACACTCTCTGGAGAGACAGCTGATTGTGTTGCTCAGTTATTTATTAGTCAAAGTCCTTGGCAGGTACAAACAAAAGTACCTGCCCAAAGTACCTGCCCTTTACTTTCTGTATCCAGAAAGTAAAGGGCAAAAAAAATAATAAAATACATTTAAAAAATACGATGAAATACTGCATACTGCAGTATGTTCAGGAATGCTTTTAACTCGTTAATTTCTCCGAATATAGTGGCTACCCATTACTAAACGTCATTCATCATCGTCAATGATGATGGCGGGGTGATCGTGGCTTAAGAGTTGGCAGTTCGTCTTGTAATCGGAAGGTTGCCGGTTCGAGCCCCGGCTCGGACAGTCTCTGTCGTTGTGTCCTTGGGCAAGACACTTCACCCGTTGCCTATTGGCAGTGGTCAGAGGCCATCACCAGTGTGTGAATGGGTGGATGACTGAACGTGTAAAGCACTTTGGAGTCCTTAGGGACTAAGTAAAGAGCTATACAAATACAGGCCATTTACTGTTTACCATTATCAGAGCTGTGCAATGCTGATTTTGGCCTCTAATTTTGTAAGCGGTAAACATTTCCAGCTGCTTTGTTTTGTTTTGTTTTTGAGACCAGTGACTAATTTTTATGACTCAAGTAAAATGACTGTCATGTATCTGGACTTATTTATTATAAATGTAGTGCATTTTATAATAAATAGGGCCAGATTTTGAACATAGCCATTATGCAGTGTTACATTGTATGGGAGTTAACGTAATTATGGGTTTCACTTTTGTTCATTTGTAATAACAAGCAGAAAAATCGGATGAAATGCTGCGGAAAAAAACAAAAGACTAGGGCTGTTCGATATAACGATATATATCGGATTATGATATAAAAACATCTATCGTTTCATTTTATGTTATCGTTTGTTTCGTGGTGTCGCAAAATAAACTGTTTACGGCAATACTTTTTCATCGTTTTGATGGTCACTGTAGTGGCTATATTAATTTCTTAAAGTTCTCTCTTTCGCTTACATTTAATATAACCACACTACAGACGGACAAGCGGCTGTTTTTATGCGTGGTTAGCAACAACGACGGTAACACCATCTCGTGTCCGCTTGTTTATGTTCCACATAAACCTTTCACAATAAAGCTCAAGATCCTGTTGAGACTTTTCAAAATAAACTGAATCACGTGAAAGAGCAGATTATTTACGGATGAGAATTAAAAAAGAGCCGCCAGGTGCTAAAAAATAAACCTTAGACGCAAACGTTAGAACAGGCTTTTCCCCGCAGCACGCCGTGTAACAAATACTCACAAAGAAAACGGCGGCTGTTACAACTTATGTCTGTTAAAACACTCGACTCCAGCTACATGACGCGCAGCAGGAAACACTTCCCGCAAGTCGAGCTGCCGAGATTCATAGAATTGACAGAAAATGTTACATTTTTGTGACTTATATCGTTATCGGGATGATAGAATTCTTATATCGGGATATGAGATTTTGGTCATATCGCACAGCCCTACAAAAGACATAATAAATTTATGATGGATTAGCCAATTTATAATGTGTACTGTGCTATTAAGGTTGAGATATCAGTATTCATAAGCCTCACATTTATAACTCTGGAAACAAATGTATTTATTATAGGGTTCATTATTTCCTGTGTACTGGGTACACTCTCACTCTCACCAGCTGCACACTGATAAGGTGTTGGGATTGTTGGCGTTTTCTCTGTATTACTGTAGTCTTTACCTTACAGCATAAAGTACTTTGAGGAAACCGTTGTTGCGATTTGACGCTGTATATACTACAACTGAATTTAATCGTGTCCTTTAGGGACACCCCTTTACGCCTCCCTATAAGCCTCTTTGTCCAGGCGGCTATTCCTCACAAGTAGAAGATTTGATCAACACACCTCAGCACATCAGCATATTAGGGATGTCTGCTCTCAGTGACATCACACAGAACTACAAGTAGAAAAAACTATGCTAAACTGTGTGTTTAGAGCAGGCTGACGTGTGAACATTGATCACAGACATTATTTGTACATGAACTGTTCTCGTTATTCGAAACTTTGGCCATGTTTAACGCCATGTAACAGTGTATGTAAAACTGAAAATAAGTAGAAGCATAGTTGGTCCCTTTTAAGTTACAGATGGTTTACAGTTGCTAAATCAGTGATGGGGTGATTCCTGTCGAAATGCATTTGTTTGTATACAAACTCGTAAATTTCAGCTTTGATTAAAGGAAACTGATATTTTGTAACATAGTTGTTAACCTTTTGTTTAACCTTTTGCTTCATTTGTGAGTTACTTTAACTTAATTAGGGGGGTGTTAGTTTCATTCATTTACTTTTTGACCTAATTGGTGGACATGCAGACCAACACCAATTACAGTATGGGGCTTATGGGGCCTGCATCCAAAGTTTTAGCCGTTACCCAACAAACATTAGCAGGTTTCCCTTTTTATCCTTTTTAGTGGGAATCATTTTGACTTTTTTTGTTTCTACTCTTTTGTTCATTGGTATGAAAGACAATAATGAAAGCTTCAGTGAGTAAATACGATGAATTCCTGCAGCCTCTGACGCCGTGTTTCTGTGTTTTCCAACCAGTGATTCGAGCAAAGGTGGTGGGAGAGAGAGAAGTGGATTCTGGGAACGACATCTATGGGAACCCCATCAAGAGGATCCAGTATGAGGTCAAACAGATCAAGGTAAGAATATCCTCACTGTTTTAGCCAAAAAGGTTTGACATTGAGTCCGCTATTAATACCCTGTGCACTGTGTTTAATTTTCAGATGTTCAAGGGACCTACCCAGGACATCGAATCTGTCTTCACTGCTCCCGTGTCCGCCGTTTGCGGCGTCACCCTTGATGCCACCGGCAAGAAGGAGTATCTGATCTCAGGTTTGTGTGAATATCCCCTGTCTCCCGGAAATAATACTGCAAATGAAATTTGATAATCTCAACTAACTTGTGGAAAAGAAGCTGCTGTTGTCGGAGGGATAGGTATAATGATGTATACAAACTATACGTCATTATATAAAACAAAAAGTGAAAGAATGCACAGAGAGAAGCACAGCACAGAACATGCAAACAGATAATCAGATATGGTCCTGCAGGTGCAAACAGCCGGGCAGACAAACCTGAGATCGGATAAAGAGTAGTGGGCAATTTTGCATGTTGGTGGAGCAGCTGTTTATGTTATTATAGGTAATGATACTCTGCTGGCTAAATCCCGTGGAGACTGGGAGGGACCTTGTCTGTTGTGGTACAGCTTAAGCTCCTGAGGTATTTTATGCCTTAGTGACTGTTTACATCTGCATAACATCTGCGTCATTTTTTCAAAATTTGTAAACTGAAACCAGCTGTAGTCATTATTTAACACTAACAGCACATCACGTGACTGCCCTAAAGTCAACAGAGTAACTTGAAGTGGTGAACAAACCTTCTAAACTCAGAGCAACAAATTTCAGCCAATTGTTTACCTTTCTGACCACAGCTTTACAGTTTGGCTTTGGCGTCAGTGTCTCAATAGCACCGCTGTCAGCCACAGCAGGCAGCTGCTTGTCTTTAGAGGAAAAGCTGTGAAACCCACTGCCCAAACAACAGACAAACAGTGTTAGCGACAAGTTGATAAACTGCTTATTCTGCTGCTAAAGGGTCAGAAGTTAGAGGCTTCTGACCTCTAACTTCTGTAAAGATAGTAGAAATCCAAAACATAGCTGGGCATTAGATGACAATATTTAGCGTTAACCCATCCACAGTGGGGCCACAAGCCAGTGTACTCCCAGTTCCAGATAAAAATTGGTTTCCATACCTAGTCTCCTCCTGCTCCAGCAAGAGGGTGCTCCACCACAACGACCCTTGTGATTGCTTTTGTTGCTGGGAGATTAGTACAGTTGTTCCCAGTTTGCATGGAATAAAATCTGCCTAAATATTTTACCCAACACATTTCAAAAGGTGCAACTTTTACTTTAAAGAGTCACAGTTTCTGGTTTGTAACCACTCAGAAACTGGTTGGGAAATGCATACTTTTCCCTAGTGGATCAATGACCAGTCTCTAGGCCTGTCTGACAGAGGCCTTAGTTGGTTTAGCTTAGTATGATTCTCACTTTGGGACTGGCCAACCCCTTGCTTAGATATAGAGTGAGAAGTTCAGTCATTCGGGAGGGGCTCAGAGTTGAACCGCTACTCCTCCACATCGAAAGGAGTCAGCTGAGGTGGGTCTGGATGACAAGGATCCCTCCTGGGTGAAGTGTATACCGGGGACGTCCCAACAAAGGAAGAGCCCAGGTTAGACCCCAGCCCTGGATAAGCAGAATAAAATTGGAAATATTTAAAGAGTTAATATTTAAATAGTTAATGATACTGGACAAAAAAGGACGCATATGGGAATATGAGCTGCTGATTTCCAGTTTTGATTAGATTAGCTCATTACCCGCGTTATCTACGAAGTTGTCTGTTAGTTACTAGTAGATCTTTGGTCCGTTGCAGTACTCAGAACACAGAAGCAAAAAAAATCTTAGTAGATGAGTCACGAAGATTATCTTATTTCTTTTTTTTTAATTTTTCATTTCTTTGTATATTTCTTATGACACATGAGAGTATCCTTTATAATGTGCTGTTTTTCATAAAGCACTTAACATCTTTTTGACCTGTTTGGGTTTTATGTTTTTACGGTTGGTGCCCTCTGTGGGTTATATACCATGCGGCCACCCACAGCTCCACCGACAGCCTTTCCTCAGCTCCTCACCTCTTTGGTACGCTGTGGACAGGTCACCAGTCTGTCATAAGGCAGTGACAGCCAATCATTCACATCTACAGCCGCTTTAATATCACCAGTACCCTGATGTGCATGTCTCTGGACTGTGGAAGGAAATGAGGAGAACATGCAACCCTCAACAGAAAAGGCCCAGCCAGCTGCAGACCTTCTTGTTGTGAGGCACACCAATGTGTTGCCCATCAAATATAATTATACCTGGACACAGCTTCCTTCCTGTGGTGGTTGTTTCGATTTTTAAAGCAAGATAGGCGGTCGCAGCGTCAGAATGAGACTCAGTTTGCTGAGTAGCGGAGACACAGAGGATCGTGATGTCATTCGTGCTCTGGTTTCTCCATCACAGTCAGAGATGCGCCCGCAAACACTGGCCCGTAATTACAGAGAGTTGTAAGAGGAGGAACTGCTGAAGCCAGCATTTTCTTCCCGACTCTCTTTTCTCAAGATGTAGGGACTTTGTGCAGTGGGAAAGAAAGTTTGATTTCTGCTGACCGGGGCATCTTTCAGAATGATTCATCGTTTCTTTAGTGCGAAGGGTTAACGAGTAGAGGAGTTGCATTGAAATGAGAGTCAGTCCCGTCTGCGAGGACATACGTGTTGAGAGCTGCTATGCAGACAGATAGTGGCAAAGTGGAGGGGGTGCAGCCTTCATAGATTTGTAATCTCATCTCGAAATATCAGCTTGTTTTGACTGGTGCCCCTTTATGCACGAAACATAAACACAAGCTCTTGACAAGGACAGGTGGCCTGTGTTGATGCCTGCAGGCACCAGTCTGGAAAGTAACAGATTTCATCAGTGGTTTTCCACGAATCTGTCATCGGATGTTTACAAGTTCAGATTTTTTTCCAGAACATTTATACTGATGCACCCTGGCCTTGGTGATGGTGGTGTTTACCATGCATATTGTTATGTCTGAAGTTTGTCTGTCACACGTGTACTTTTTCTTTTTTTTTTATATACAGGCAAGGCCGAGGCCAGCGGCAGCATGCATGTGACTTTGTGTGATTACATCATGCCCTGGGACTCCTTGAGCACCACCCAGAAGAAGAGCCTCAGCCAGCGCTACCAGATGGGCTGTGACTGCAAGGTAAGGCAGCAGAGGGCCGCCTTTGCATGTACAGTTTATCTCGTGGCGTGGAGAAAAAAAAAGACAGCTATTCACTTCCTGCACTACACATCCAGACATAGCAGAGCAAACAAGACGAGGCACGATTCAGGGGAACAAACAAAAGAGCAGTAAATGTAACTTGAATACTCTTGTTTTCTTTATTAATTGTTCTAGAGATTAAAAGGAACGTCTTACACGTTTTCAACCTCGTATTTTTTTATACTGATTGTATTCTTTCAAAATAATCGGTGATCTTATAGCTCATCCACAAGCCATTGTAAGCCCTCTCCCTTCTTTTTGGCTGCCTCACAAACATAAGGTTTGAAGCTCGGGTGGGCAGGATTTCTGTGCTTCTGCGCTGAGATGACCATATTATGATTATCTCTTCTCTATGAAGTCATACACCGGCAAGAGTATAAAGAACTGAAGCGTGAGCTTTCACCTCACAGGGATTGCTTGTACACACTCTGATCTCTGATTTTTGGATGTTTAATAGGAACAAAGTAATATATTGATTAACGACCCTTAAAGGTGCTTTTGGGCAGATTTACAGTCTTTATGGTGCACATGGGCAAAACCTAGCTTAACCAGTACCTCAAAAACCAACAGAAGGCAATCTTATGCTAATAAATCTCATAGCAAATGATTTTTATAGGTGTGCATTTTCATTTTACTAAATTCCTACAGAGGGCGCTCTACTTTTACGACAGGCAAACTTTTTCTGCGAACTACAAAATGTTACAGGACACAGCTGATGGAAAACTTTGAGGGTCTCAAATGATTCATTATTGATGTAATGATGATTTAGGCAATTATCTATTAGATCTATTTCATTAAAAGTTAAAAATGGCAATAATCTGTTCTAAATGTTTTTGGGTGTTTCACAATAAAAGCCCCTCAGTGTTTCACAAGTTGAACACTTTGAATTTGAAGCACAAATAGTGGCTTGTTCTGTTTGCTTAAGTTCTCTAAATGGAGAGATAAATCCGTAAACTCTGGCTATGGTCATATAGGTACAATCTAAGTACACTCTTACTTCGGTCATAGGAATTTTGGCAGTTTGTTGGTCTGGAGCATTCAGGTGTGTTTTAACACAATGCCACATACTTCACAGGAGTGGCTGTACCATGTTGAAGTAACTTTGGACACATACACTTCTGCTTTTTCCAAAAATAGCAGCTTCCAAGCTCAGCTGACCCTGGGCAGAGAGTTTGTTTGTATTAAAACTCTAAAGAGTTAAAACCGTCATAATGGAGACACTGAGCAGGTGATGGCTATCCATCTTCAGGGACATGCCAAAAAGAAAGCATATCTACTGATACATGGCTGCCTAAACACCAAACGGCGTGACGGTCAAATCTTATGTAAACAGTTGCCCTGATATCTTAAATCTACGTGAGTTCAGTCAAGAGGAAAAAATGTGTGCGTGTAACCACAGCTACTCAGGCTGATAAAATGACTCCAGATTTGCATGCTGTAACATTTCCAGTAAATTCCTGGTAGATGTTGGGTAATATGAGCACGCTGGCACTGAAAGTTATCCATCAGAAGCAAAACTGAGGC